CGCGAAAATTGAGTGGAGATGCAGGTAAGTGTGCCATGCTTAGGTGCTGCTGCAACCACATATGCTGGCTGCAGCAGCACCGTACTGGAACAGGGGTCAGCAAATGTCAGTGGGAGGAATAGTGCCCCATCGTTGGTGTCACTGATACCAATGATGGGGCATTATTCCTCCCACTGATACCAACAATGGGGCACTTTTCCTCCCCCTGATACCAATGATGAGGCACTATCCCCCCCCCCCACTGACACCAACGATTGGGCACTATTCCTCCCCCCCCACTGACACCAATGATGGGGCACTATTCCACCCCCCACTGACACCAATAATGGGATACTATTCCTCCCCCCCCCACTGACACCAACAATGGGGCACTATTCCCCCCCCCCCACTGTCACCAATGATGGGATACTATTCCTCCCACTGACACCAAAGATGGGGCACTATTCCACTGACACCAATGATGGGGTGCTATTCCCCCCAATGATACTAATGATGGGGCACTATTCCTGCCACTGATACCAATGATGGGGCACTATTCCTCCCACTGACACCAATGATGGGACACTATTCCTCCTACTGATACCAATGATGGGGCACTATTCCTCCCACTGATACCAATGATGGGACACTATTCCTTCCACTGACACCAATGATGGGGCACTATTCCTGCCACTGATACTAATAATGGGGTGCTATTCCCCCCACTGACACCAATGATGGGGCACTATTCCTGCCACTGATACTAATGATGGGGCACTATTCCTGCCACTGATATGATGATGGGGCACTATTCCTGCCACTGATACCAATGATGGGGCACTATTCCTCTCACTGATACCAATGATGGGGGGCACTATTCCTGCCACTGATACCAATGATGGGCACACTATTCCTCCCACTGATACCAATGATGGGGCACTATTCCTCTCACTGATACCAATGATGGGGCACTATTCCTCCCACTGACACCAATGATGGGGCACTATTCCTCCCACTGATACCAATGATGGGGCACTGTTCCTCCCCCTGACACCAATGATGGGGCACTATTCCTCCCACTAATACCAATGATGGGGCACTATTCCTCCCACTGATACCAATGATGGGGCACTATTCCTCCCACTAATACCAATGATGGGGCACTATTCCTCCCCCAGTAATACCAATGATGGGGCACTATTCCTCCCACTGATACCAATGATGGGGCACTATTCCTCCCACTGACACCAATGATGGGGCACTATTCCTCCCACTAATACCAATGATGGGGCATTATTCCTCCCACTGATACCAATGATGGGGCACTATTCCTCCCACTGACACCAATGATGGGGCACGATTCTTCCCACTGGTGTGCACTGGAAGAGGGGTAGTCTTATACGGCGAGTATAGCCCAAACACTACATTTTAAACAGGAAAAGTAGGGGGTCATCTTATATGCCCAGTCGTTTTATACGCCGGAAAATACGGTATATGAAAAATATTTTTTAAAATACATTTTCAAATATACTGTATGTCTTTAAAAATAGAAATCTACATTTTTGGAATGCATTTACAAATATATGTAAAAAAAATATATGTTAAAATGACTTTTAAAAAAATCTGAAGAATATATATTTAAAAAATATATATTTTTCAATTTTTTTTTACATATAAAAGTAATTTTAAGATATATTTTTACATATATTTGTAAATGCATTCCAAAAAATGTAGATCTGTAGTTTTAAAGACATACAGTATATTTGAAATGTATTTTTAAAAATATTTTTCTTATATTTTGTAATAAAAACGCATTTCAACATGCAGTGTATGTGTGTATATATATATATATATATATATATATATATATATATATATATATATATATATATATATATATATATATATATATATATACAGTCAGGTCCATAAATATTGGGACATGGACACAATTCTAACATTTTTGGCTCTATACACCACCATAATGGATTTGAAATTAAACGAACAAGATGTGCTTTAACTACAGACTGTCAGCTTTAATTTGAGGGTATTTACATCCAAATCAGGTGAACAGTGTAGGAATTACAACAGTTTGCATATGTGCCTCCCACTTGTTAAGGGACCAAAAGTAATGGGACAGAATAATAATCATAAATCAAACTTTCACTTTTTAATACTTGGTTGCAAATCCTTTGCAGTCAATTACAGCCTGAAGTCTGGAACGCATAGACATCACCAGACGCTGGGTTTCATCCCTGGTGATGCTCTGCCAGGCCTCTACTGCAACTGTCTTCAGTTCCTGCTTGTTCTTGGGGCATTTTCCCTTCAGTTTTGTCTTCAGCAAGTGAAATGCATGCTCAATCGGATTCAGGTCAGGTGATTGACTTGGCCATTGCATAACATTCCACTTCTTTCTCTTAAAAAACTCTTTGGTTGCTTTTGCAGTATGCTTTGGGTCATTGTCCATCTGCACTGTGAAGCAGCGTCCAATGAGTTCTGAAGCATTTGGCTGAAAATGAGCAGATAATATTCCCGAAACACTTCAGAATTCAACCTGCTGCTTTTGTCAGCAGTCACATCATCAATAAATTCAACAGAACCAGTTCCATTGGCAGCCATACATGCCCACGCCATGACACTACCACCACCATGCTTCACTGATGAGGTGGTATGCTTAGGATCATGAGCAGTTCCTTTTCTTCTCCATACTCTTCTCTTCCCATCACTCTGGTACAAGTTGATCTTGGTCTCATCTGTCCATAGGATGTTGTTCCAGAACTGTGAAGGCTTTTTTAGATGTTGTTTGGCAAACTCTAATCTGGCCTTCCTGTTTTTCAGGCTCACCAATGGTTTCCATCTTGTGGTGAACCCTCTGTATTCACTCTGGTGAAGTCTTCTCTTGATTGTTGACTTTGACACACATACACCTACCTCCTGGAGAGTGTTCTTGATCTGGCCAACTGTTGTGAAGGGTGATTTCTTCACCAGGGAAAGAATTCTTCAGTCATCCACCACAGTTGTTTTCCGTGGTCTTCCGGGTCTGTTGGTGTTGCTGAGCTCACCGGTGCGTTCCTTCTTTTTAGGAATGTTCCAAACAGTTGTTTTGGCCACGCCTAATGTTTTTGCTATCTCTCTGATGGGTTTGTTTTGTTTTTTTCAGCCTAATGATGGCTCGCTTCACTGATAGTGACAGCTCTTTGGATCTCATCTTGAGAGTTGACAGCAACAGATTCCAAATGCAAATAGCACACTTGAAATGAACTCTGGACCTTTTATCTGCTCATTATAATTGGGATAATGAGGGAATAACACACACCTGGCCATGGAACAGCTGAGAAGCCAATTGTCCCATTACTTTTGGTCTATTAACAAGTGGGAGGCACATATGCAAACTGTTGTAATTCCTACACCGTTCACCTGATTTGGATGTAAATACCCTCAAATTAAAGCTGACATTCTGCAGTTAAAGCACATCTTGTTCGTTTCATTTCAAATCTATTGTGGTGGTGTATAGAGCCAAAAATGTTAGAATTGTGTCGATGTCCCAATATTTATGGACCTGACTGTATATATATTGAATATGGCCAAAATTGTAGCAGTTCAAATATATGGCAATAGATTTGGGAAGAATATTTTTCAAATATATTTCAAATATATTTTTCTACCATGTGGGTGTGCAGGGTCCTCTCCCTTTTCTCCAGTGCTGGGCAGACCTCTAGTGGTGCTGGTCTGATGAGGTCATTGACATTTTCTACATCATTGTATGTGAGTGAGGAGTGCTCCGGTGGCGCCCCCCTAAAGCTGAGCTCTAGGCTTAAACAATATTGGGGCATTAGCTAAGTATCATTCACATACCTCTATTCAGGGCTTTTTTTCAGTGGGATTTTGGGGGAATACAGTTTCGGCACCTCCAGAACTTAATGTATGTAATGGCAAGGGTTGCAGGGGTGTGCTGGACGGTCTATTGATACTGGCTGCTGTTGTCACTGGTCCAATGTTTCTGGTGGAGGATCTATTGTTGCTGGAAGGGATCTACTGTTGAGGGAGGGGTCTATTTTTTGCTGCCTGCTGAAGAGTCTATTAACATGGGCTGCTGGGGATCTGTTGTACCTTGAACCTCATTTGCCACATAGTTGCCCAATTAAACAGTGCACTGAGGTCAACATAAACCTTTTCTCAAATACCTTTATCCCAATACCCTAATAGTCCTCACTCCACAATATTGTCCAAAATATGTCCAAACTATATCGTCCAAATATTGCATGAAATATCCAATTCAATTCGCCAATCCAGATCCAAAGTGCCTCAAAAAAAATAAAACTAGATATAGTGTATTACCCTCAAATCTTCAAATATTTATAATCCTTGTGTGCGGCTTTGTACAGCAGAAACAATTATCCTTGGTCAAAGCCAAAGTCGCACCAAAGTTGCATCAAAGTTGTGCCAAAGTCACATCAAAGTTATCTTAAAGTCTCCATCAAGTCGCACTGTAAAATCACACAATTTTGAAGTTGCACAAGTGTGAATGGAGCCTAAAGTAGTTTGTACAGAGCTTGTGCATTAAGGCTCCATTCACACTTATGCAACTTTGGGGTTCAAAGTCGCATGACAAGTCGCCCCCCATGTTTCCCCATGGTTACCATTCATATCTGTGCGACTTCAAGTCGCAGTGTACTTCAAAGTAGTTCCTGCACTACTTTGGTCCGACTTTCATGCGACTTGAGGGTCATAGACCTCATGTAAACCCTCCAAAGTCGCATGAAAGTCGCACCTGGATGTTGCACATGCAACTTGTATGTGACTTTGTACAGCAGAAACAATTATCCTTGGTCAAAGCCAAAGTTGCGCCAAAGTTGCACTCATCCAAACTCGCATCAAAGTCGTGCCAAAGTTGCATTAATGTTGCATCAAGTCACACTGTAAAGTCGCAATGAAAATCGCATGATTTTGAAGTCGCACAAGAGTAAATGGAGCCTAAGAGTGTAAAGTGTTTGGCACTCTTTTTGTTGCCTGAACTTGTGATGGTAACAGTGTTGCTTTTTTTACAGATCTACTATCAGAATAAACTAAGGCTGGCTCTCATTGGTCAGAGCGTATTTGGCCAAGAAGTATATAACAATTTGCGCAAAGAAGGACATAAAATAGTGGGGGTCTTCACAGTCCCAGACAAGGATGGAAAGGCGGATCCTCTTGGTAAGTTTTCAGAAAGCTGTGCATGAAGCAGACTCTGATAGTGCTGTGTTATATGTGTCATTCATCATGTCATTCATGCGTTTCTTAGAATCTCAACCTTCGACATATATGAGATATATGAGAGCTAACAAATGGTATATGAGAGCTAACATATGATATATGAGAGCTAACAAAATATTTTTTCCTTCTACCTCCTCCTCCTAATCATCCAAGCGAATCAGATATACAATAGTTTCACATATTTTTGCTTAGGGCTCATGTAAATAGGCAGATGTTTTTTCGCTTCTGACCTACTCTTATGAAGCAGGTTTAAAAGGTCTGGGAACACAGCATTTGAAGTTTAACCACTTCAGTTCCGGACACTTTCACCCCCCTCCAGTCCAGGCCAATTTTCTGCTTTCAGTGCTATCACATTTTGAATGACAATTGCGCGGTCATGCAACACTGTACCCATATGAATTTTGTAGCATTTTTTGAGACAGATAAAACTTTATTTTGGTGGTATTTGTTCACCACTGGGATTTTTATGTTTTTGCTATATAAATTAAAAAGACCAAACATTTTGGAAAAAAAAAGTGTTTTTCTTATAAAATTTTGCAAATAAATAATCTTTCTTCATAAATCTTGGCCAAAATGTATTCATTATCTTTTAGTAAAAAAAAATAGCCCAAATTAGTTTATAACCAAAAATTATAATTTTTCTAATTTTTTTTTTACATTTTATTTTTTTTTTATATTATTATTATTTTCTTTTTTTACACTGATTGCTTTTATACCCATAAAGGCTGTAAAAGCAATCATTTCTCCTTCTCTCTGGCTGCATTCCTGCAGCCATTGAGAAGTACTGTGAGAGCTGTGATTGGTCACAGCTTGTCACATGGTACAAGGCTGTTGTGAATAGCCTTGTACCATGTGACCTCTTTGATCTTTCACAGATTTCACTAGTAGTAAGCACTGATGTCAGGAAGTGACATCTTGCTTACTACTCTGCATGTGATCACTGATTGGCCAATTACTGATCACATGATCGGGACACACAGAGGTTCCGTAAAGTGGTCTGTGTTCCGCTGTGTCCGGAGGAGCATGCACAGGCAATGGATGCGGGGGGACATTTCGAAACGTTCAACCGCATCGGCAGTGCTCCTGTCTGGCCATTTATCGGCATGAGCTGGACAGGAAGATAATAAAGTGATTCTAAAGGTTTGTTTTTTAATTTTTTTGAATAACAAACATGTTTATACTTACCTGTTCTATGCAGTGGTTTTGCACTAAGCAACCCCATTCCTCTTTTTCTCAAGTCCCCTGCCAGCACTCCTGGCTCTTCCCCTTGACCAGTGCCTCCAGTAGCAAGTCACTTGGTATGGGGGCAGTAGTTCATGCTTGCTCCTGAGCCCCCACTGTATGTGTCCATAAGACACATAGAGCCGCGGATCCACCCCACCCACTCAACCATCGCTCTCTTCCTCATTGGCTCACTGGCTGTGATTGACAGCAGTGGGAGTAAATTGCTCTCGTTGCTGTGTCTCAGTCAATGAGGAGGGAGATCTCCAAGACATATACTTGCATTTATTGCTGTGATTGCTTTGTTTTCCAGTAAATGCAGCATACCATATTCTGCTGTTTTCTCCTCAAAGTTAAATATATAACAAAAAACAACATTTCATATTCCTGATATGTGGCTGCTGTACAAAGTATTTGTATGAAAAAGTATCCTGTTCTCTTTGTATTGCTCCCTTTGTGTGGAATCCCTGGTGCTCCTGCCTGTCCCTCTGCTTTCCTATTAAAAACTGAGCACACTAGGCAGGGAGCATAGAATGGTCAGTTCTCTAGCTGTGGTGGGAACTCACTGTCCTGACACGAACCCCCCCCCCCCACACACACACACACACACACACACACACACACACACACACACGCACACACGCACGCACACACACGCACGCACACGCACGCACACACACACACACACACACACACACACACACACACACACACACACACACACACAGCAACACCACAGCTTCACTGGAAACATCAGTGTATGCTATTTCTCCTCCCCCCCTCCTCTCTAAGATCCTTATGCAGCTGGGAACAGAGGGTTTGTGATCACTTATATAAAAGGTAAAAAAAGGTATTTAGAATGTTTTCTTTCTTTCTTTCTTTCTTTCTTTCTTTTCTTTCCACAGTTTTATGGAAAGAAAAATATGTACAAACTAGAAAAGTTACAATTTCTGGGGAAATTGTGTGATGTGTTCTTGCCTCCACCAGTAGTCTACAACTGGAGTGGGCGGAGTAACTGGGTGGAGTGGCTTGAGTAACTGTTGTGTGGTTGGAGTGGCTGGAGTAACTGTGAAAAGGTTGGACTGGGCAGAGTAACTTTATGGAGTGGGCAGAGTAAAGTAAAGATAGTAAACATTACACTAACCAATTGATTGATCAAATTTAAAAAGTGCACATGGCAAGCTTGATAGAGTGAGAAATGCATTTCAACTTTTATTTATTTTATTTATTTCAAATTTGATTTATATAGCACATTTAATTGCAATGTTGTTGCCCAAAGTGCTTCACAGTTACATTAAAACATACATTTATAAAAATATTAGCAGCATTATCACCTCAAATACTCTCTACTGTAGAAAACTTATTTCTAAACCTTTAACCAGAAGCTGGCCAAACTGTCACGAATTCAAAATTAGATTTCAAATAGGGCAGAGAAGAGCGGTTTAAAAACAAACTGTTCCAAACTGCTCACTTCACTGGCGTCTTCAAATGGTCGTAGTTTTAAAAATTATAAATCCTACAGTGAAGAGCTTTATATTGTGAGAATCACACGACCCAGACCTACATTTCAGTACATAGTATGTCTCTGAAATATTAAAAATGAAGGCACAGTCGCAGTTTAAAAATTGCCCTTCAAATTTGAGGTGGCTAGAGTGCAGTTTCAATGAATGTCAATGGGCGGCTTGAGTTGCAAACAAATGGTCATATTGTGAAAACTATCAGGACTATGGCTTAGCCGTGGACATTTTTAGTGGTAGCAGGGATAGCTGAACGTTTTGATATAAGATTTGTGTAGGTGGGCTTGAAAATGAGGGAGTGATGGCAGTTTAGAAATCATGTCCTGATTTTTCAGCTCACACTCTAGCTTATGTCAGCTCCCACTCTAGTTTTGAACATTCCGCCATTCATTCCTATGGGACCAATTTCACCACAAAAAACGGCGATATTTCGTGAACCATTCGGTGAAACATTCCACAAAGTAATAGCACACCAATCGGGAACAATCCGCACGTTTCGGTATATTACTGTCTATGTAGTGTAAAAACTGTGGGAGGAGTTAGGGTGGTAAATTTGGCTATAATAATAAGAATATATATGTGAGATAACAGTAAGTGGTCTTGCCATGCAAGAACACTTAATTACAACAGAATCATACAATGTACAGTCAAATGTCCCCATGCGGGGTAGATAACAATAAAACATACAGATTCCCAAGATGTAACAACAAGTGGAACTAGGAATGTTTTCTTTATATCTATACACAAATCTTTTGTCTTTCATTTCTATTTTAAACTGAATGGGTTGTTTTACAAGGTGAGGGCTCACATATACTTTAATGACTGTGCAAACAAAAGCAACTCAGAAGTAATGCAAACTGATCTCATAAACAAATCTTTTTCCTTGAAAGTACCTGACAGCATGCAAAGTACAAATCAACAGGTTAACCTTGGGCCCCTCTGCACCAGCAGCATATGTTCATCTTTTCTTTTTTCCCACTTCTGGAGCAGGAAAAGCTACAAGCTGTTTATGTCGTACCTGTGTGAAATAGGGTTGCCACCTCATCCCTTTAAAACTGAACACATATTAATTACACAGGTTCTGGGGCTCATTTAATGCTGATATATACTAAGGTCTAGTTCACACTGGCTTTGAAAGCAGGTGTTTGATGGGCTTTTTTAACACTCCTCAAGCGCCTACGGAAATGGCTGTGGGCAGCACACAGTTCTGTTCACATTAACAAAACATTAAGTGTTAGCGTCGCGTCACTTCAAAATTGAAGCCTCATGTCTAGTCAGGAGGAGTTGAAGCCTTTCAAAGCCTATGTCTATGGTGACGCTCCTCAAATGCCCTGGCAGGTGCTTGCAGTTCATTAATACCATTATAATTTATTATAGGTGTTTGTAGTGTGGTGTGTTAACGCTTATAAAACAGCGCATAGGGCGTTTGGGGAACATTTTTAACGTTTGGAAAAACCCATACTAAAGCTCATAACTAAGCCATACTAAAGCTCATTAACGCCTGTCTAATGCCCATACTAAAGCTCATTAACGCCTGTCTGACACCCATACTAAAGCTCATTAACGCCTGTCTGACACCCATACTAAAGCTCATTAACACCTGTCTAACCCCATACTAAAGCTCATTAACGCCTGTCTGACACCCATACTAAAGCTCATTAACGCCTGTCTGACACCCATACTAAAGCTCATTAACGCCTGTCTAACGCCCATACTAAAGCTCATTAACGCTTGTCCCTAACAGAGCAGCTGCCTCACTTATAATTTCATAGGGATTGGCAATACAGTCACTAAACTGCTGCACTACCTGTCCTTGTTGTCCAGCACAACACCTCAGGGACGTTTAATGGGTTGTGGGGCCCACATCAGTTTTCTTTAATAGTCCTGTGGTGTTCTGTTTCAGTTTGTTTTGACACTGGTTAGGTGACATTGGTCTCTTTATCTCTTTCAGCGGTGGCAGCAGAGAAAGATGGCACACCGGTGTTTAAATTTCCCCGATGGCGGCTGAAGGGAAAGTCTCTTTCGGAGGTAGTAGATGCCTACAAATCTGTTGGAGCTGAGCTCAATGTTCTTCCTTTTTGCTCACAGTTTATTCCCATGGATGTAATTGATCATCCTAAAAATGGCTCTATTATCTATCACCCTTCTATTCTTCCCCGTCACAGAGGAGCCTCTGCTATAAACTGGTGAGAACATCTTTGTGAGAACATAGTGCTGTGCGTGGGTTCAGAAAAAAAAATACAAAAAATTCAGAAAGGAAACAATTAGTTATTTGTTATAAGGGGGTGTAAAATGTATACTTAGGTAAACAGTACAAAGTGCTGTAGTTATGTTATGTAGGAATCCATACAACCAATCAGAAACATTGTTATAGTGATCTGACTTCAGCATGTGAACATGGATTGTGTCAGTGGTGCTTACTTTACGTTAATCCTTCTCAAACTGTGTGAAATGAGAACTTGGACTCATGAAGCATTACAAGAAGGGTGATAACCTCTCTTCCTGGGCCTGTTTACACTGCATTAGAAAAAGACAGCAGAGTAGACAAAGGGATAACCTCATTAGTTTACTGTTGCTCTTTCACTGTCCAATCAGGAGGCTGGGGGTGGAGAGGGGAGACAACTGTATTCCCATAATTTAAGTATTGTCCTCCAACTGGCTGTGCTATATGGAGTACTATGTAAATCTCAAAAATTGGTGGACAGGATTAAAATATGTTATGCTTGTTTAGTGCCTGAAGTTTGGCTTTGGTTGGGGAAATGTGATAGTATAACCTGAGTGTCATATAAAGTCATTTTTGGACAGCTGTTAGGCATGCAAGAACACAACCAGAAAATGCATTTAGAAAGTTTATTTCCAAATCTTGAGTTTAAATGTAAAAGCTGAATTTTGGTTGATTCGCTCCTACTCATCACATTCAAGGTCCAATATGGAGTTTAGGAGGCAGAAATGGGTGAGTAAAGAAACCCCCCAATGGCTATACAGCCTGTGTTGGGAGTGGTACACCAGCTTATGCCATACTTTTTTGGGTGGGGGCAGGCGGTGGGGAGGAGGAAATGTATGGGATGTGCATTGTTATGTTTTTTTACGTCCAATAAATATATCCTGTTCATTAGCCATTGAGGTGCTGTATCCTTTCTTTTCTTGGGTTTTTTTTTTGTAGAAATGTGCTGAAAAAGTGAATGTTTGCATATACTTTATAAACCATATAAATGCTGCGCTACATTCAACCTTATTTAAGTGAATGTGGAATCCAATAACTCAAATCAAAAATAGTGACAATAATAATGAAAATAAATAATATGTGCTTAATGATAACAAAATTACCAAATAAACCACCCAAACTAATGAAAAAGCACAAACTTAAATCTATACGTATGTGCATGAGAAATACACATACATATATTACATCACACGTGCACAATGTGAAGTGAAATGATGACTAAATAATAAACGCAAACTCAAAGTCCAATAATGAAATGTTGAAGGTGAACAAAACTGTAAACGGTGTTTCCAATAATACTGTAAGGTGACCACAAGTGAAACAAATCTTGCAGATATCTGGGTGTAGATAGAGCTTATGAATCCAACCACCTTCTGGATTAGCCTCTCACCTCATCACTTCGACCCTTGCGGGTTAGATTCCCTATGAAATTGTTATTGCGATCTGTGTTTCCCCTGGGGAGATTCACCTTCTATGTCCTGGTAACATACTATACTTGGAGAAGAGCCTGAGTGGGAATACTAAATCCTGAAAAGTGGTTTTGGAGTGCTGTGGTGCCTGGAGGATCTGTGAGAGGGATCCATTACTGCTCTTTGACCCGCAAGGGTCGAAGTGATGAGGTGAGAGGCTAATCCAGAAGGTGGTTGGATTCATAAGCTCTATCTACACCCAGATATCTGCAAGATTTGTTTCACTTGTGGTCACCTTACAGTATTATTGGAAACACTGTTTACAGTTTTGTTCACCTTCAACATTTCATTATTGGACTTTGAGTTTGCGTTTATTATTTAGTCATCATTTCACTTCACATTGTGCACGTGTGATGTAATATATGTATGTGTATTTCTCATGCACATACGTATAGATTTAAGTTTGTGCTTTTTCATTAGTTTGGGTGGTTTATTTGGTAATTTTGTTATCATTAAGCACATATTATTTATTTTCATTATTATTGTCACTATTTTTGATTTGAGTTATTGGATTCCACATTCACTTAAATAAGTTTGAATGTAGCGCAGCATTTATATGGTTTATATTTACTTGATCACTGGTATATGATTTAATGCTAGCAGCTGTTTGGGGTTCATATATTAATTTAGTTTGTTTTAAACACACATTTGGAGCGCAGGAGGGTCACACCACTATTGCATATACTTTACCTTCTGTATGCCTGTATCACTGGATCTAATTACTAAAATACCATGTACTTTTGCTGTTTATAGTTGTTTTAATATGCTTGGTTTAAACTGGCAAGGATTTGACAGTTTTTTTTTAGGAAGAAATGTAACAAAAACATATGCAATATATTATCTAATAGAAAAAAACAGCAGTGAGCGCTAATCCTGAAAGCGGCTAAGCACTCTAAGCAACCAATATAAACTTAAATGAAATAACATAAAAATAGTGCAGCGCTAAAAGTAGTGACAATAAGACAGATATAAGTCCACTAAAAGTCTTGGTCATATGGATGTGTCCAGTGACAAATGAGGATTCAGAATTGGTGATCCGTGTGGAAACGGCTGAAAAACGCACTCACCAGAAGTAAGACACATAAACGCAGTGTGCATCTAGAGCTCATGGATCCTCAATCCAGAGGGGAGTAAAGCTGGTCCGGTTACAGGAATGGTGGATCCCTCCTCTGTGGATGCAGCAACAGATCCTCCTTTTCTCGATTAGGTGTAGAATTCCAAGATCAAGATTCTGCAAGCAAAAGCTCCTCAAGGGAGTTTTAGGGAAGGACACCCATAGTGTAGTAGGTTATAAAAAGCAGCTTTATTAAAATAATGATATCCAATTCAAAGTAGGCAGGTATCATAAAGATGTGTCAGCAAGACAAACTAACCCTGACACTCTGAATAATGGCCACCGGGCCTCCACGTGGCTCCGGCGGCGTAGCGTCTCCTATATAAAGCCTCCTATATAGGAGGAGCCTGGACGTCGAGACGCTACGCCGCCGGAGCCACGTGGAGGCCCGGCGGCCATTATTCAGAGTGTCAGGGTTAGTTTGTCTTGCTGACACATCTTTATGATACCTGCCTACTTTGAATTGGATATCATTATTTTAATAAAGCTGCTTTTTATAACCTACTACACTATGGGTGTCCTTCCCTAAAACTCCCTTGAGGAGCTTTTGCTTGCAGAATCTTGATCTTGGAATTCTACACCTAATCGAGAGAAGGAGGATCTGTTGCTGCATCCACAGAGGAGGGATCCACCATTCCTGTAACCGGACCAGCTTTACTCCCCTCTGGATTGAGGATCCATGAGCTCTAGATGCACACTGCGTTTATGTGTCTTACTTCTGGTGAGTGCGTTTTTTCAGCCGTTTCCACACGGATCACCAATTCTGAATCCTAATTTGTCACTGGACACATCCATATGACCAAGACTTTTAGTGGACTTATATCTGTCTTATTGTCACTACTTTTAGCGCTGCACTATTTTTATGTTATATGCAATATATTAGCTTTACAAAAATCAACAGACAGAAGATGCTATACAATAAATCCTCAAAAACTATGTACAGTCCAAACCCTATAAGTCCAATCTTTAAATCAAATTCTTCTCGTGGTCAAAAAATTCCTCCGATAATATACCTCAAAAAGAAAAAATATTCACGTAGTGCATTATCTTTTTTTTATAGCTAAATAAATAATAGTGACTTCATTCAAGTGAATACCCAATCACATTAATAATCCGTGAAAAAGTGAACAAAGTGAAAAAAACTGTGAAGCCAAAACAATAAAAACCCTTGTGAATGTGAATCACTCTTCAGTGCTCTATTCCAACCAGCACTGTGACACTTCTAAGTGTAGTAAGGAATGCATACCCTTACCAATATTCAGAAAAACAGCCGCTTTTTTTATATCTTTCCAAAAGGAAGGTGGGACAAAGTCCTATTGATCTTTACCCAATATAGTCTGCCTTCATATTAGCATCAGGATCCACCAGCCTTGAGACTCCATATATCCACATCAAGCATGTTTCATATAAATATAAATATATAGGAAACACAATAGTATAATACCGCCAGAATCAATCTTAAAATCAACTTTAATTAGGTTGCTCACATTTTTTCAGCATAAAAACGCTTAAAAAGTACTCAGAAGTGGTTTACTGTTATCCAGGAAGTGCCCAGGGGAAATCAGATGATCGTTTCCCTCATCCAAGATGGCCGCCGGTCAACTTCCGGTTCCCGTGTGCGCGTTGACGTCACTTCCCCTTGACGCGTTTCGTCATCCACTTCCAGTGTGCAGAGGGTCCTTCAGAATTTCTAGAGTTAATGTGGTTACACCCCTTTAGCACCTGATGGATAAATGCATGCACTAGCTGTATGGATTTGAGCACAGGGATCTCTTGTTCGTCATCGACTTAATCCCTTATGATTAAGTCGATGACGAAACGCGTCAAGGGGAAGTGACGTCAACGCGCACACGGGAACGAGGAGTTGTCCGGCGGCCATCTTGGATGAGGGAAACGATCATCTGATTTCCCCTGGGCAATTCCTGGATAACAGTAAACCACTTCTGAGTACTTTTTAAGCGTTTTTATGCTGATAAAATGTGAGCATCCTAATTAAAGTTGATTTTAAGATTGATTCTGGCGGTATTATACTATTGTGTTTCCTATATATTTATATTTATATGAAACATGCTTGATGTGGATATATGGAGTCTCAAGGCTGGTGGATCCTGATGATAATATGAAGGCAGACTATATTGGGTAAAGATCAATAGGAGGACTGTCTCCCACCTTCCTTTTGGAAAGATATAAAAAAACGGCTGTTTTTCTGAATATTGGTAAGGGTATGCATTCCTTACTACACTTAGAAGTGTCACAGTGCTGGTTGGAATAGAGCACTGAAGAGTGATTCACATTCACAAGGGTTTTTATTGTTTTGGCTTCACAGTTTTTTTCACTTTGTTCACTTTTTCACGGATTATTAATGTGATTGGGTATTCA